AGTACGCAAGACGAGTGTGGATGGGAGAGTTGGAAAGGGTCAACCTCAGTGAAGGTACCTCAATCAGATTGAGGACGTTTTTAGCAAAGGTCAGTTTAGGAGTACCCTAATTAAGTTAATATCAATGTACCTACCTATATGGTTTAAGTTTAAAAAATTTGGCTCTCTAAAGAAATTTCAATTGTTGTACTATTGATATTTGGCTCTGTTGACTAATGAGTTTGCCAACCACTGCTCTAGGGTGTATAGATTCAGAAATGATCTGAGCAAATTGTATTCTCCTGACATCCATTTGAAAGATTCATGAGAAGGTAAAAGTGTAACCTACTCATCAAGTCCATCATTTCTCTTTACTCTCAGAAAATGTAGGCCATTCTTTGACTTAATTGCAATGAGTCTCATGACCCACATGGTCCTCTGTCCTTGACTTACACAGTGAGTGAGGAAAAGGGAAGAGATGTCACCACAGAGGTCTCAGAATGACTAGGAAAGCCAGACCTCAGTCCCTCAACTTATAGGAAATGCTGCCCCACATGCAAATTTCTGTTCAAACTCCAGGGTAAATCCTCTCCTGGGCTGTACAGGCTCACAGCTCTCTCTCCTCACACAGGGCTGAGGTCTCTGGGAAGGCAGAGCTGTGGTCTAGAAGAAGATGAGACTGCTAAGTCTTCTCCTGTGCCTGGTGACAGTCCCCCAAGGTGAGGGTCTCAGGGGCCAGAGAGGGGTCATGGGATAGCTGTGACTGCACGAGACTGACAGGACTGATTCTCCTTGTCCCCAGGTGTCCTGTCCCAGGTGCAGCTGCAGGAGTTGGGCCCAAGACTGGTGAAGCCCTCGCAGACCCGCTCCCTCAGCTGCACAGTCTCTGGATTCTCTATCACAACCAGTGGTTATGACTGGAACTGGATACGCCAGCCCCCGGGAAAGGGGCTGGAATGGATAGGGCGCATAAATTTTGATGGAAACATTTATTACAGCCCCTCCCTCAAGAGCCGAATCTCCATCTCCAGAGACACGTCCAAGAACCAGTTCTTCATGAAGCTCAGCTCCGTGATAATGGAGGACACGGCCATGTATTACTGTGTGAGAGAGACACAGTGAGGGGAAGTCAGTGTGAGCTGAGACACAAACCTTCCTGAGGGAAGCAGCAGGGCTGGGCTGTAGGAGGTGCTCCGGACACCAGGGGGCGCAAGGATCCACAGCACAGAGAGCATCCCCAGGATCAAGGTCAGAGGGTGGTGGGGACAGAAAGTCCTTCCTGCTGGGCACAGGAATTTCCTCTCAAGCTCTCAGCTACCACCAGAGAGGATTCTTCCTTCTCATATTTTCTCTGCAGACAACAATGAATAAGGGACATTGTTTGCAGGTGACTTAGCAGCGATGGTGTCTCTCCTTCACCAGTTCTCCTTCACAAATTCTAAAAGTGATTTTTTTCCACTGATTTTTCAGTGTTTCACTGATGAGTGTAAACCCCGCAAGTTTTGGTTGGCATTGGGCTGTGTGCACAGCTCTTCCTCCATCCCTCACTGGTCACAGCTCCCCCAGGGTCTTCCCTCTCCTTGTGCCCTCCCCTCTCCTGGTTCCAGGGAGATCACAGAGCCCTCCCTCTGCTGAAAGGCCTGAGAAAACTCAGAGGTAGCAGACCTCAACCATCCTCTCTCAGTCCACATTAACCCCCGGAAGAGCTGTCATCTCAGTGCACCAAACACTGGGAGCCACACATCCATACACACAAGGGGCCCCTTCTGTCTTGCAGGAAGCAGTGCTAACCCCACAGTGAGGACAGATGACCCTGAGTGCTAGGATGTGCATCATTGAACACTTCCCTCCAGCTTTCCTCCTGGATCCAAGGTTTTCTAGCTTCACTGTGGGTGAGATGTGCATCGGGAGCATGTTGGAAGCTGAGGAACTGTCCATGGAACCCCCTGCACCCATACTGTCCTCTTTCTTAGTTCTCAAGAAACATAGAGTCATATCGCCCCACACATAGAGTCACATG